CTATTTAAAAAAATCCTTTTTTGACCCTTCCATCACGCTTGAAACCAAATCGGCCATGGCTAATGATCGCAAACATGGTTTTGCATGTTCTGCTATGCCCCTCGCTCCTCTTGACATAACCCAGATTTTCCTTCTACACTGCTTTATATTCAAAATTTCATGCTTTTGGATAGAAAACGATTTGGGGAAAAATTAATTAGGTTTGCAGAGGATTGGGGAAAATCAACATTTGCTAGGGAAAGGAAAGAATGATCCTTCAATTTTGGAGAGAAAATGCTATTAATGGAATGTGTTGTTATATCCACTTGTCAAATTTTAACCGCATCAAGAGCCACGTAAATCTGCCATGTGGATTTTTTTGCCTAATTGGATGGATGAAATTGAAATGAGTGATGAATGGATAATATTTTTCAAAAGTGGGTGAGCAGTACCTTTTTATTTTTGGGTGATGTAGCAACCGGAGGCAAATGTCGGTGATTATTGATTTAATTAACTCTTTCATTTTGGGGTGACTGAGGGATCATACCATTCGGATTGTTTTGACTTCAAATCGAGTTTTACTACTCTAATACTTATTCAACTATTTTTTTTTCTAAAAATTCTTAATTTTTAAACATGATTTTTATCATTTATATTGTCGAGAATTGTCTACTAAATATTGATGTTTAACACAAGTTAAGTAATGATAACACATTACATCAATTAATTGATATATCATTTGATTTATGAGATTTGTAAGTTGTTCATATCATAATTAATTAAGTTGTCATGTCACTATTATTTAGGATAATTTAAGGGACCAGCTATTTACATCCACATCTATTTTGCTCGGGCTCGACTCGAGCCGAGCCACGGGCTGCCCGAACCGACAAGCCATACTAACATCCCTATTTCTAAATTCATCAACTAATATTTATTTTCCTTAAATTCTTTTGAACATTTTTATATTCTTTTAGAATTTGTGGTTGACTATAATTCTAATAATCATAAAATATCATTTTCAACTAAAATTGTAGAACCCTAATAATCATAAAATATCATCTTCAACTAAAATCAAAATAAAAATTGAAGGATCACCATTAGAGGAAATATATGAAGACATAGCAATTTATGAAGAAGAATTTGAAAAAGTAAAAATTGTGTTTTATTGGGAATTTAAAGAATTTAGTATTATCATTAGAGGAAATACATGAAAACAAATCTCATCAATTTTTATTTTTGTTTTTTAAAGAACAAAATAGTGTCAGAAGATCATAGTCTTGCCACCACCATTGATAATGATAAGTGTATTTTATACACTTATTCGAGGTCTAAAATAACAATATTTGATAGTTTTTTTTTACAAAATATATCCTTGATGTATTTTAATTTATATAGGTAAAA